ATGCTTACCCTTTTGCTCTCATCTATGGCTTTGTTGTGTAACTGAGAGCTACAGTCTTTATTGGGGCTCCCAGCACATCAAATTTCTACTTGTCAAGCCCAAAGGGTAAATTATACTTATTTTTATTTTATCCTAAGGACAATTTTTCACTGGTATAGCAGCCTTTTAACAAGTTAACAGTCTCTGGAGGAGGTATCAGCCACCCACTAACAGAAGACCAAACAAAGGCCATCAGGTGTGAACAGACTAGCAATCCACTTGTGTATACCCGCTGGTGAGATGGCATAACCAGAGGCCGGGTTAGATAACAAACTAGGCAGGTTACCCAGTGCTGCCCGTGACATGGGGACAGGCCCGCAGGCGTCAGGAGGCAGCCACGGGCTTCCAATCCACATGCCTGCAAAAGGACGTCAGAGTGGGCACAGAGCCCAGGGCAGATGAGGCAGCTGTCCAGGCTGAGATCAAGAGCCACCCTGGGCCTGGACATGACTCGTGAGCAGGGCCGGCCTGGACCAGGAATGGGGGACCATCGTTAACTCTAGACTGCTGAGGCTCCCCCAAACCCTGGGCTTATATGTCATCACCCACCCACCCGGTTCCTGTCTGTGGAGGCCAGAGGGGCCGCAGCTTTGTAGAGGAGGCCCAAGTTGGGGAAGCATTGTAATCTGAGTCCATATCGTCCAATCCCTGATGCTCTGGAGAGCCAGGAGGACCAGAAAGGGAGGGAGAGGGAGGATCTGATTAGTAAGGGGGCCGAGCAGCAAGCTCACACCTAGAGCACTGTGCTACCCACCCACCAGATGGACACTGCAGGCATCACCAACAGGAGCCAGAACTGGGAAGCACGGCTAATGCCAAGATCCGTGCCCCCGCCCCCCGCCCCTCCTCCCAGCTCCCTGGAGGCACATAGGGGCTTTCAGCACAGAAAACAAAAGAGGCCCAGGAAACAGGACAGGCAACTTTAAGCTACTGAAGGGAGTAGAGAGGAGAAATGTGGCCTCATTTGCCAAACTCTGGATGCTGGAGGGAGTCTCAAGAGGCCAACCTCAGCTAGAGGGTGCTTGGGTTGGGAGCCGACGCAGGGTGAGGAAGGGCTGGGGGGCTGAACTCACCCCTGACAGGTCCAAGAGGAACTGCTGAGGTCTGAACACCACTTTGGTCTAGCGAGGGCATGTCAGGTCATGCCACCCAGGCTCCTCAGTGCCCATGCCAGAGGGAAGTACTGTGCTCAGGGATGATTTGGTCACAGCCTGTCCTTCCTAATGGCAGCACAGATGCCTGAAGATAGACCCTGTCTAGCCAGCACTGTCCTGTCTCTCATCACCCCCCAGGGCACTGCACAAGGACGTCTGGGCAAGGTGCTCCATCAGCTCACACATTTGCCCTCCTTTCAAGTGGCCAGGTGGAGCACATTCATCTGGACTTCCCCTGGAGGGGCCTGCTGTCTCTGCTCATGATGTGCCTCCTCACCTGGACAGCTCCCACCCACGGCGTCTCCTGGCCAGCCCCTTCTCATCCCTCAAATCTCAGGCAAGAATCTCTTCCAAACAGTTTGGGCAGGTTACACCTTCCTCTGCTCTCCTACAGTATCATGGCTTTTCACAATCATTCCCTAGATTCTGGGGGTCCATGAAGCAAGATTTTTGTCTACTTTCTTCCTTGTTCTCTCCCCCAGGCTCCAGCACCAAAACTGGCCTGCAGGTGCTCCATAAATACATAAATACATATTAAATGAATTGGGGTGGGGAGAGCTGATGGCTAAGCCACCTACCCCAGGAACATCCGGCCAAGCACTAGTGTGTCATGTTGGCAGCCCAGAGCCTCAGCATGGGCTTTGCACCTAAAGGTGTTAGAAGGCAAGGGAAGTGCCTCATAGAGTTACCAAAAGAATGGAAGAGGAGACAACAGCAGAGGAGGGACAGCTACATGGTTTTGGATGGAAAATAAGTAGAGTTTTAGTAACTGATCCAGTGGAGAGGAAGAAACCATCCCCTAAGTGCCTGCAGAGCACATGCTTAAAGAGCCAGTCCACGGGCGCCTGGGTGGCTCAGTTGGTTAAGTGACTGCCTTCGGCTCAGGATCATGACCTGGAGTCCCAGGATTGAGTCCCGCATCGGGCTCCCTGCTCGGCAGGGAGTCTGCTTCTACCTCTGACCGTCCCCCCCTCATGCTCTCTCTCTCATTCTCGCTCTCTCAAATAAATAAATAAAATCTTTAAAAAAAAAAAAAAAGAGCCAGTCCATTGCCCTCAAAACACCAGCAAAGCTCAGGACTTGGAGGGACCAGGAACCTTAGGAAAAAAGGGCTAATCATAAGGCTAAACATAGGGAATTGGTTAAAAGTCTGTCCTCAAAGCAATAAGATCCCAAGGTCTTTGCCATATAGCAAGGTGACTTTTACCACTCTCACCTGTGTTCCCCAGATGCTGGAGGTTTATCAGCCTTCTGGAGAAACTGAACCCAAGTGATCCCAGACTTGGGAACACCAGCACAGTGGAGGATGGGAGTAGGTGAGATTCAAAGCAGGGAAATTAATGGAAGTCTGCAAAGCGAATATTGGGACTCCAGCCTCCTCTCCCTACGTGGCTTCCAGAATGCAGAGAGATAAGATAGCTACTGTATTCACAAAACAAGAAAAGAATTCTATTAAGAAGAATTTTAAAAATAAACAAAGAGCTCTTGGAAATTAAAATTATACTAGCTGAAGTTAAAATTTCAGTCAATATGCTGAAAATAAACTCAGGGAAATTTCTTTCAAAGCCACACAGAATGACAAAGTGATGGAAGAGAAGAGAAAAAAATATAAGACAATCTAAGCGTCAATCTAAAATGCTGAATATTTGACTAATAGGAATTGCAGAATAAGAAGAAATTATCAAAGAAACAGTATAAGAAAATTTGCCAGAACTGAGAGTAGGAGTCTTCAGATTAAAAGGGGTCACCAGGAACCCAAAATAATGAATTTTAAAAAGAGATGGCATTGTGGAATTTCTGAAATAAATTTAATAGAGAACATACTAAAGATTTCCAAAGAGGGAAAATGGGTTACTTGCAAAGAATCAGAAATGAAATGTATCAGATTTCCAAAACCTATACTGACATGAGAGACAATAGAGCAGTGTCTTCAAAATTCTGTAAGAAAATATCTGTCAACCTAGAATTTTCTTCTCAGCCAACTGTCAATTAAGACTGAGTGCAGTGGTGCCTGGGTGGCTCAGTCGGTTGGCATCTGCCTCTTTATTTCTGCTCAGGTCATGATCTCAGGATTGTGGGATCAAGCCCCACGTCAGGCTCTGTACTGGGCATGGAACCTGCTTAAGAGTCTCTCTCTACCCCTTCCCCATTCTCTCTCTCTCTGTCCCCCCGCCAAGAAAAAAAAAAATCCTTAAAAAAAAAACAACAACACTGAGTGCAGAATTAATTTTCAGACATAAAAGGACTCACAATTTTCTTCGCATTTACTCTTTTTTTAGGAAGCTACTAAAAGAGGTCTTCCACCAAAATGAAAGTGTACACCAACAGGAAGGCCTGGAGCTGGAGGAGTTGGATACCAGAAAGGAAAATTTCAGAGGGGAAAAGGGAACTGAAGGACAGGAGTTTTCAGATTGAAAGGAGGCACTGAAAATATCAAAAGGCTGCTAGAGGATGTAGTAAGAGGTAGAGACCGTATAAAGAAAACCATGCCAATGTGAAAAACTGAGGCAATCATTAACTCTAGGTAAAACATAAAGTTGAACAAGAGAGAAAACAAGAATTAGTAAATGCTATTTATATCATTGTAATAATGTGAATCGTGAATACCTATAAACCCCCAAATCCATAATAACTATTTTGGGAGAGTGATGAGGATGGGGAAGAGACGTGTGTTTTTTAATGGGGGTAAATAACAAGACAGTTGAATCCAGCTGAATACAAAATAACTAGGTGAAAAATAGGACTATAGATAAGCACATTAGTTCGACATGGATTTCTATCTGAAGAAATAGCTAAAAGTATTTGTTTCCGGAGAAAAGGAATGGGAATTGAGGAGGGATGGGGGCAGCATACTATTTTTCCTTCAGGTATTTTAGTACTGTTTGATTTTTTGAACTATGCACACATATTACTTTTGTGGTTTTTTAAAAAGATTTTATTTATTTATTTGAGAGAGAGAGCAAGCAAGAGAGCACAAGCAGGGGGAGCAGCAGAGGGAGAGGGAGAAGCAGGCTCCCTGTTGAACAGGGAGCCCAACTCGGGGCTCAATCCCAGGACCCTGGGATCATGAACTGAGCCAAAGGCAACCGCTTAACCAACTGAGCCACCCAGGTGCCCCTGAGCACATATTATTTTGAAAAAAAAAAAAAAATTAATTTTTTAAAAGATTTTTAAAATAAAGTTTGTAAACAAAAAGAAAAACTTTGGCATGTTAACCATCAGTCCCTATAATCATTAAAGTAGCCCTACAGTGCATCCCTCTACCTTTCCTTCAAACCAAACACAACCATTAACATTTCACTTAGCTCTAGTTCACGTTCCTACCTGATATAAAAAAAGAAAAATGAAATTAGTATTCTAGCCTAATCCCCACTATCCTCTCTTGTCTTTCCCATCCTCAAGCTGAACTTTTGAGTAGTGGTATACTAGTAAATGTTTAAAAATCAGTTCTTTTGGGAAGAAAGTCTTGATTTGAAGCATTGGCCAATTTCCATGGTAGAAATATTCCCACATGGCTGATTTCAAGCTACCACTGTGACGTCACTGAATGTGGAATTGGGAAGAGATATACACATCAGCTCCCTTTGCTGCCTTTGGGTCTCACTTGCCTTTTCAGCCTCCATGCTTCCCACGAGACCCAGGGTATGGGAGAGAACTGAATGTCTCCTCCAAAAAGCCAGAAGTCCACATGGCTATGTAGAAGCATAGAAGTGGATAATGAAGGAAAGAGAGTGGTTCTGGCTGCAGGGAAGGGGATGTGACTTTGCCGCCTTCCTGCCCCCTCCCCCCCACTTCCAGCAGAATTACCTGTTCATTGGTGACGCCTGGCCGCAGGGTCCCATGCTTGTAGTCCTCCAGCAGCTGCACAGCCTCTCTCAGACGTCTCTGCAGAGGAAAGAAAAAAGACATTGAGGGGCACAGATCCAAGGCTCCTGCAACTCTTTCCCTTGCAAACAATAAAGAAGGATACAATTTAAGTGTCTTTCTATAGGAAAATGGCTAAATGACAGTGGTCTGATAATACTATAGACTATTACTGGGCAGTTTAAAAAGTGAGGTAGATCTGTATGTGATTCCATCTCCAACATATTTTTTTGAGTGAGAAAGTAAATTGCAGAGCCGTATGATGCCATTCATTATACCAAACAAACAAAGCCCACACACATAGAAAACAATATTTTCTATGAGAATATTTATGTGTGTAAATGCATCAAAAAAGCTCTAGAAGGAGACCCACCAAATTAATGACAGGAGTTACCTTGGGGTAGGAAAGGGTCCAGATTTGGCAAGGGGTGTCAGGAGGAAATTTAATCTTAATTGTAATATTGAAAGTTTTTATAAAGATAACATTTCTGTAATACTCATATAATTTCTTTTCAACATTTTAAAAACACTAGCAGAGATTTACATACTAAAGTGCATATGGCTACAGTAACTGATGGGAGAGAGAGGGAAAAGAAGAAGATAGAATTGTATCATCTGTAAAATCTTAAAAGCTAAAGAGACAGCAACAGTGATAGAAGGCAGCCTTTGTCCACCAAAATATTTGTATAAGAATATTTATAGCAGCACATTCAGTGGGGCCTGGGTGGCTCAGTCAGTTAAGCATCTGCCTTTGGCTCAGGTCATGATCCCAGGGTCCTGGGATCAAGCCCCACATCAGGTTCCCTATCTGCAGGGAGCCTGCTTCTCCCTCTCCCTCTGCTGCTCCCCCTGCTTGTGCTCTCTCTCTCTCTGTCAAATAAATAAATAAAATCTTAAAAAAAAAAAAAAAAAGAAAAAGAATATTCATAGCAGCACTATTCAAATAGCTGCAAAGTGCCAACAATCCAAATGTCAGTAATGGACTGGATAGGTAAATCGTAGTATATGTACACAATGAAATATTACACAACAACTTAAAGAGCGAGCAAACTACAAATACATGTTATAACGTGGATGAATCTCACAGACATAATGTGGCAAAATGTATTTTCCAAAGATGGACACTCCAATATCTGCCATGCCCCATTCTCTTCTAGAACCTTCCTACGTCCCCCTCAAGAGGTAGAGTCTATGTGTCCTCCCGCGGATTCTGGGCAGGCCTTCATGACTGCCTCAACCAATAGAATATGGCTGAAGTGAGGCTATGTGACCTCTGAGGCTATGTCACAAAAATGCCTTGCATTTCCACCTTGTTCTCTTGGGATGGTCGCTCTTTTGGAACTCAGCCATCGTACTGTAAGGAAGCCCGAGCAGCATATGGAGAGACCCACCTGGACAGGAACCGAGGCGCTGGCCCATGGCTACAGCTGAGCTATCAGCTGACAGTCCATACCAACTCGCCAGCCGTGCAAGTGAGCTATCTTGAGATGGACTTTCCCTGCCCCCCATCAAACCACCCTAGTGGGCGCCGCAAGAAACAGCGATGAACCATCCCCTCTGAGCCCTGTCCAAACTGAAAACCAGTGAGCAAAAGAACTGAAGTGTATGAAGCCACTATATTTTGGGGTGATCTGTTACACAGCAATGAAGGCTGATATACATAATGAAGTCAGATGCCAAAGAGTATGTATAAAGTTCAGAAACAGGCAAAGCTAATCTAACTAACATGGTGGAGGTCATGATAGTGTTACTTTTGGTGGGCGGGGGTGGTGCGGGGGGGTGGAGCAGGGTGCTGACTTGGAAAGGGCATGAGGGAACCCTTTGAGGTAATGGAAATGTCCAATGTCTTCATCTGAGTGGTGGTTACATGGGTATAAACATAAGTCAAAATGTATTAAGCCATAAACTTGGGATTTGTGCATTTTATCATATGTATGCTATACCTCAAAAAATTAACAAGAAACAGACAACAGCCTAGAAGGCAGCCTATGTCGGAGGGACCCAGACATCAGGGTTGTCCGGTGTGGGTAAAGAAACCCAGTGAAGCTGCCCTGTTCCCCCCTCTTTTTTTTTTTTTTTTTGTTCCCCTTTTGATAGAAGGACAAGGCTAGCTGAGGATGGAAATGCAGAGACCTCAACAGAAGCCCCCTGGTCTGAAGGCAGGATGCAACACGAGGAAGGGCTTCCAGGGGGCAGACAGGGTGTTTGCTGAGCCAGTGGATGGGGCAGTCCCATAGGATGGGAAGGAACAGCCGACTCACTGTGGGCCCAGACAAGTCAGTCAGACCACGTGACCCGTCAGGCCAGCAGGTGAAGTACCTGTGGACACTGGTCTAATCCCGGGCATCAGGGAGCAGGGAAACTTCTTATTTAGGTGCAGTCTGACTGCAGGAGAGTACTGCCCCTCCCCCTTCAAAGGTTTGCATATCAATTCCAAAATTCCAGAGTCTCTTCCCAGAATCTCTTTCCAAAGTGGAGATAGCTTGGTGGGATATTTTTGGCAGGGGTGGGGTGGGGGTGGGCCAACTAACCCATGCTGTTTGGAGAGAATGTCAGAAAACAATAGATAAGCACAAAAGATCGTTTTAAATCCCTCATCAACACACTACCTGAGATGACCACCGCAGAAGTGAGAATGGTTTAAACAGAATGAGGATGATTTTCGTCCTGGATTTAATGCATTTGTTTTTCAACAAAATGGGATCGTGTTGACTGTTTTAACTTCTTAAGGTCACATGGCCACAACATGAGAAGTTTAGTTTTTGTACCCAGAGTTTAGTCAGACCCTTGCTGTGTGCCCCCAACCCACCCCCCTGCACCCCCAGAGCCTCACAGTGATGGGGCAAGCTCCCCACCCCAAGCCTGCTTCCTCCCACGCCACAGCCTCTGCCACGGGACAATGAATGCTCTACTTTCCAGCGCTGAATGGTGAATGGCCCCGTGTTCTCATTATTTTCCCACTCCAGGGATTCTCCCGAGTTCCTATAACAACCTGGCCAGGCTCCATCTCATCTGACACAGTAATCAAAGGGAGGCCTCCTGCCACAAGAATAAGTTCCAAAGAGCCCGATCTTGGCATGGGTTGAGGGAGAACTAAATCCAAAGTTCCTGAAGACAAGTCTGAGAAATTAGGACTGGAGGAAGCTAGAACATGCTTTTCTGTTGCTGGGCCTTACTAAGCCTCAGCCAGGCCCCTCCGTCAGAGGCTGAGGGGCTGGGGCTCCAGGTCCCTCTGTGGGACAGCCAAAGCCCCAGGACACTCGCTTTAAGAGGTCCCTGAGGCCTGACTGCTCTGGGGGCTGGGCTCTTCACGGCAGAGAACGGGGCCATTACCGGGGAGACCTGAGGGATGGGAGGAGGGTCTCCCTGCTTTAAGCCCTTCTCTCACTCCCGTGCATTGTGAGCCTTGATGGAAGAGCCCTGGGCACTGGAGAGGTCTGGACAGCTGGAGGTCCATGGTGGGTGAACTTTGCAGGAAGTCTTTTCAACCAGGAACAAACAGGCAGCCAGGCCCTGAACGCAAAGGCAGCAAGGAGTGGATGAAAGGCTCCTCTAGAGCCTTGGGCCAGGGGGAGAGTCGGCCCATGTTGCTTCCCAGACTCCCTCATTGGCTTGCCTGCCTCTAGCTCACCTGCCAGAAAGTGTCACCTTGAGGTTATCTCCTGTATTTGATGGGGGCATGGTCTCCAGAAGGTCCTTCTGGAAACACTGGCAGCTGGGAGGTCTGCTCCAGGGCAGAGAATTTGAACAGAGGAGAAGCCTGGCCTCAAGGGTCCTGCCCCAAAGCCCTGAGGGGTAGGAGAAGGAAGCAAAGGGGCAGACATGGAGTGTTAGGGTGGCGGCCAGAGAGGGCAGGAGACCATGCCAGACAGGAACAGGGACAGAGGGACCCAGAAAGGGAAGGACACAAAAAGGAAATCTGGAGAAAGAGTCATCAAAAAGTCCCTCGATGGTGATGCTCATTTGACAATCCCAAAATTAAGAGAGACCGTGCCCTATTCACACAGGATGTGGATAAGAACACCTCTTTGCATGTATCTATCATAGAACCATCTAGGCCACCCCCTCTCTGAACTAATTGCGGCCAGAAAAGTAAGGGCATTTCCATGCCCAGGGTCCCAGAGTGGGTGGGAGGTAACGCAGAAATCCCCTCAATCCCAGTTCTGGGCCATTTCCACAAAACATCAGCATGGAAGACCATCCTATCCTCGTAACAGTAACTGAAAGGGTGGTCTCCCAATGATTTCAAAGCAATGCCTACATCCCCCAAAGCTGATGCCTACGGGGACAGGGCACCTCAGGTAAGAAAAGGAAGGGTCTTTTTTACCCTCATTCAAAGCCAGGCCTTACCTGACACAAACTGGAGCATTCAAACTTTAGGCAAAGTGGAGAATTTGGGAGTCCCAAAGCTTGCAGAACTTAAAAAAGAGAGAGAGAAAAAGAAAAGCAGCACCAGGGGCAGGGAGAATGAATTGGCAATGGAGTGTTCGTGAGAGAACGAAGCAGGGATGGCTGATGGGGAGCAGGGGGAGGGGAGGGCAGCTGCCTAGGTCACATCATGCCTTGATTGCTCAGTATCTGATTGTTCTCACCTGGGTCAGTCTCGTACCTGCCCAAGGCACGGCCATGCACTCTCACCTTGCCCACAATGACTGCTTGAGCCATTTTTATTGTGGCCCCAAACACTGGGACTTGGGGCTAGAAGATAACGATTTCAGAGTCCCAAGCCCTTCTCTTGTCTTCCCTCAGCCTTCTTAAGCCCCCTTCTTGTTCCCTCTCAGCAGTCCTGGGACCCCCAGGATTAAACGTCTGTGCTGAGATTGGTCCTTGGCTCCCTGAAACCCCAGGCCACTGGAGGCCCCAAGGGAAGAGGAAACCAGGGACACATGGGGAGGGGCTCTGCCTTCCCTGTGGCTGACCTCTGGTCACCTTCAGGGGGCCCACGCAAGGCAAACAGAACTCTGGCAGCATGACAGGAGGTCCAACCCTTTAGAAAATAAATCTGTCCAGCTAGCCCAAGT